CTAAGTAAAGCACAGAGTACCACCTAGCAGAACTGAGCTCTGAATTGAAATATTAACGCAAGTATAGGAGTTTGACAAGCTCTTTGGAAAGCTTGTTTTTTCCTATGTTGCATTATATATATTAGGTCAGGACTACATAACGATGCCCTGGATGCAGAATTAGCTTAATAGGTATCTTTTGTGTCTGTATTGACTACTATCAGACAAGAGATGGAGTCCCAAGTACTGGGGAAAGAATCATTTCTGGCCCAGGCTCCAGGCAAAGGTTGTCCTCTCAGGATGCTGTCCCCCTGGGAACAACCAGTGCTGCTACAATAGGGCAGCGGCACTTTCTACTTAATAAAGTCTTGCAGAAACCCTCAGGTTTGTTCCAACCACTTTTTTTTTTTTTTCTAATTTATGACTTTCTGGCATCTGCATTTGCAATCATTGTCAACAGGTAGTGTAAAAATGACCCTACTGGGTCAGACCAGAGGTCATTCTAATCCTGTCATTGTCAATGACAAATAGGTAGGGAAGGATATAAGTGTAGAATAAGTGTGTAGTGATACTTCCTTCAAATGCTCTCCCAGTCTCCGATGGTTTGGGTCCCAGAGACTTGCTGAGCCAGGAGAGGTTTTTTTGTATGTGTTAATCCTCAACAGATTTCCTTCCTGAGAGCTTTCCAGTTTTCCCCTAAACTCAAATAAGTCAGTCGCATCCTGTGGTGAAGAGTTTCAAAAGTAGAATGGAAAAATTATTTTGCTTCTGTAAAAATAGATGTGAGTATCAGAAGAAGTAATTAATTATTTCTACAGATTATTCAACTACAGAGATGCTGCTTCTACTTAAAGAGAAATAGCTGAAAGTAACAGTCTCTTTTATCCTGTCTATGCAAAGCGTTGCTTAGTGATTTGGCTAAGAATGGCCCATACATGCATTTGTTCATTAATACATTAAATAAAAATAGTCATAGCCCATAGCCCTTCTGTCTGCTTTGAATTGATCCTTTCTTAGCTTTAAATACTATTTGTGTAACAGATTTTCTTTTTATTATTTCTTGTTATACTCTGTCTCCAGTAATATATAAAACCAGTTTGCTGCATCTTCAGCCCAGGCAGATGACTATATATCTCCCAGAAGTGCGGAAGATTTCAATGGACTACATTAACCTGCCTGTCTTTAATCCAAATGTTTTCAGCGAAGACGAAGATGATTTACCAGGTAAGGAGGAGCTGGAGATCTGCCATGTTATGGGTTAAGCTAACTGGAGGACAGATCACTTGTTTCCTAACCCCCTCTGGTAAACACACAAGTCAAAATCCCATAGTCTGATGCAGTCCTGTAGAACTGAATTAGAACAAGGCTAATATGTATTACAGACATTGTTTTATAAAATATGTGGAAAGTATAATCCCTGTAGAGCTGATAAGTTTCAGGTTCAATAGAAAAATAGTCATCTTCTATTTAGTTCACTAAGAATTCCCTGTAGAGTGAAGCCTTGCATTTTGCATCTTTGTAGCATGGAATTGTAATGTGTTGGAAGCACACAGGTTCTTGTGACCTGATGGCAGCAAAGCACAACCTGCTGATAGGAGCTTGGGTTGGAGGGCAGGTTCCTGTAAAACTCAGCTACCCTTTGAGAAGTGTTAAGTGACCATTTCAATTTTTATCAGTACTCAGTCTTACAGAGAGGCTAAAATAGTAAAGCAGTCGATAAACAAGGGGAATCGGAAGAATTTCTCATTTCTCTGATATGTAAGGTAACAGAAGATTCAAGCATGCAGGGAAGGCTTGGGCGCAGGTGATGTGGCAGCTAAAAGGACTGGAAGTACTCAAGACCTCCTCCAATCAAAATATCAGCATGCCAATAAAATTAAATAAGAGACGAGAAGATAAAGTAATACATTTTCAGAATGTTCACATCAGTGAGGGTTTCCAGTTGCTAGGCCACAGCTTTTTGGAACTGCAGGAGTGGCCATCATGGACAGCCATACCCTTTAATAAGGAAGGAGTGTGAGCACTGCAAAGCAATTAAAGGCTAGTGCTAGAGTCCAGTGAAATAATTGGAAACTCCCATTATTTCAGACCAAGCTTTTGACTGCTGAAAGCACCAAAGCTTGCGTCTGACCCAAGTATCAGAGTAGTCCTCTGGACTTCTGAAGAGATACTCACATGCTTAAAATGAAACCCATTCTCTCATGATCTGTGGCTTGGCTTGCCTGCTTTGTCTACATGATACTCACTTGTAGGATCTGAAGAAAATAATAGAGATATTGCTGATTGTATATATATTATGTATAGGAAGCACTCAACACTTTCTGTCATGAAGCCTGGTCCAAACTGGGAGAAAGTAATAAATTAAATAGGAAAAAAAAGTTAATATAAAGTTTTTGTGTCCTTTCCTGAAAACTGGATTAGATCTGCAATAACAATTACTTTTATATTACTTAAAGAGCTGAAACAGTACTCAGAATTACAGGTTGGTGAACACCACATAAATATAGGGAAAAGTGTTAGAGAGTCTTGTTCCAGCTCTTTGAGAAAGCTAATGGAAGAATCATACTTCACTGTCCTCCTCTTCTTGCCCACCTTTTTCTTTTTAGTTTCTTCTGAAAATTAATTTCTGACTTAGCAGATAGAGGCTGCTTAAATCTTCAAAAACATTTTTGGGGATATCTTTTCTTAAAGTCTGCATATAAAGGAAAAAAGTGCCATATACTAATGGGAAAAAATATTGCGGTGTAAGTAATGATAACATGATAGATTAAAAAAAACATAGTAGAAAGCTGCCCTTGGGCTGTGGAATATTAATAGTGAGGTACTCTTGGGACAGGTGTTTTGTAATGTAGTCGGTAAAGATTTGGCAAGGCAAATGGACAGTGAATTGATTTAACTTGCAAATTATGCAAACAAATCAATTAAAAAACATTGGAGAAATGAAAAAAAACATTGTATTTAAATGCTTTTGGATATTAAGCAACACTGCAAAGAATGAGATTTTATTTGATAAGGCACTTAATACCCATGACAGCAACATTCTGGGTTGCTCAAGTCAAGCTAACAATTAAACCTCAAGCTTTGGTGGATAAATTGCTAACTTGCAGGCATCAAGATGAAATCAGGTCTTGCCAGCCAAGCACAGAACTACGCTGCCTTAGGGTCAGTTAAGTTCAGCTGTTGTCCTTGTAAAGGGATGAACAGAACTACCACAAAAATTTACCAGCATAGCCCCAGACCAATATGTATACCCACCACATTTGTGACTGATGCTGATAAAAGCCTAATGCTATTGAAAATGTAATGATAGGGCATAGTTAGGTTACTATAATTTTAGTTAGAAATTAATTAGGAGCTGGGCAGCAGCTGGAGGAGTCCTGACTAATGGATCTCTTGCCTGATCTGATCTTGCAAATCAGAGGTCTCCACAGAATTTGGCACATTTAAATGATCCTGGATACAACTCTAGGATCATGGTTATTACTCTAGTCTCTTTTCCTCCCGTAAACCTGCTGATGCAACTCGCTTCTCATTTTCCATGGTTTTCGTACAGGAAAACTAATAAAGAATCTGCAAGATTCTTGGGGTTTTAGTATAGTATTTACTGTTTCCCCTCATTATTATATTTTGTTCTTTCTTATCTTGACTTCTGCACCTGTGCTTGGTTCCAGTGTCCTCCTTTCCCTGCTGTGCTCCATCCAGCTTTTCAGTAGTAGTTCCTGTTGGAATCATTCTCACCACTTTTTGCAAAAGGAATTGCAAGTAATTGAGCTCCATGTGTCTTCTTAAAATAATCAGGACTGCTTCTTGGCTCACTGTCCCTCGTTCACCACCACCATGTGGGAAACTTTTTGTGTATACATTTGCTTCTTTTCACATTTCTGATTGCAGCCTGTCCAAACATTGATGCTGAAGTTGCCCTGACTACAGTACCCACTTCTTGAATCTTTCTGGCTTCCCATCTTTTTCCTCACATCTTCTTCTACATTTCTCATATGGCTTCCCATCTATTTCCTCACATCTTATCCTTGCAAATCTTTCAAGAACTTTTATAAGTTTTGTCTGTATTTCATTCCATCATATTCCTCTCTCTCTGTTTCATCTTCCTTCTTTTTGCATTACTGGTTGCTTTGTCACCCACTATACTCAAAAGATAGTAATACTTCCCCTTTCCCAACTGTTGTCTGTATTCTCCAGTTTTCCTAAGCTCATTGAGGGGACATTACACTAGATACTATACAGTGCCTTCAGTGCATATCTTCCACTTTCTTTTTCTTTTCCTCCACTTTTTTTTTAATGACAACAGATGTCCAAGTCCAAATTCATATCTGCTGTCAGATCAGGGCAGACTTGCGGAGCATCATTTCATCTTCTTCCTGAAGCTCAGTCCAGCATGGCACAGTGACACCTACCTGGCTCAAGAGGGAGTCAGCCTGGGCCAGCAGGGACTTTTTGGTGCCTCATCATCAGGTAGCAGCAGCCCTAAAGGAAGTCAGGAAGCCACATGAGTGGTCCTAGGACTGGGGGCAGAGAAGAGGTAGCAGCAGCAACAGATCCATGAGTGGATTATCCTTTCTGCTGTTTGTTGATGCATTTATTATCAAAAAAACTTCCATAAAAACTAGTGATTCAGCAAAACTTTTATTGAATTGAGTAGGAGTAATTAAAATTGGCCAATAAGTAAATGGTAATTCAGACCCATCAGGTAAACTCCTTGCTCTGTAAATGTCTGTGTCATTCATAGTGTAGACTGAAAGTGAGCTCTGAACTTTACCTCTGAAGCATCACTCCCAAGAAGTTACTTTAAAGTTGACCACCAGCTGTTACAATGGGAATCAGTGGAGACAGGCTGGCTTATGTGTACAAACTAAGGTCTGATCCATTGATTTTGCTATCTGATAGCAGTCCATCCAAATACAGCAGAGTGCTTAAGCAAATACAGAAAGATAGCAGGTAGCTTAAAAAGTCCAAGGTAAAGTGGAATGACAAAGTACAAAAAACGTGCAGTGTTCTTTTCTTCTAACTCAATTAAAGAACAATTTCCCTCCAGTTTCTGAATTTTGTGTCAATACTGCCATGAAATCTTCCCATTAAACATTTTTAGTGACCCACACGTCTTCTACAAGTGCTGAAGAAAACCCAAAAATATGTGAAACACCACTTCAGGAAAGTTCCCTGTTTTAGTGGCTGGTGAACCCCCCACCCGCTCCCCTAACCACTGCAGTCAGCAAAGGCTCGTGGCCTCTTGCACCTCTGGACCTGGGGCAGCCCCACAGCACAGCCCTCGCCACCCCTATCGCGTGTGTGGGGCTCCTGGGGCAGAGGAGGCCAGGTCACACATCCCCCCATGGGGCAGCAGGTGCCAGAAGGAGGATCTGGGGGAACTACAGCCCTGTCAGTCTGACCTCAGTGCTGGGGAAGGTTATGGAGCAGATCATCTTGAGTGCCATCACGTGGCACGTACAGGACAACCAGGTGATCAGGCCCAGTCAGCATGGGTTTGTGGAAGGCAGATCTTGCTTGACTAACCTGATCCCCTTCTGTGACAAGGTGACCTGTTTAATGAATGAGCAAAATGCTGTGGATATTGTCTACCTAGACTTTAGCAAAGCCTTCGACACCATTTCCCACAGCATTCTCCTGGAGAAACTGGCTGCTCAGGGCTTGAACAGACGTACTCTTCGCTGGGTGAAAAACTGGCTGGATGGCCAGGCCCAAAGAGTTGTGGTGAATGGTGTTAAATTCATTTGGCAGCTGGTCACAAGCAGTGTTCTCCAGGGCTCCGTACTGGGGCCAGTTCTGTTTAACATCTTTATCAATGATCTGGATGAGTGGACCAAGTGCGCCTTCAGTAAGTGTGCAGATGACACCAAGTTGGGTGGGAGTGTTGATCTGCTTGAGCACAGGAAGGCTCTACAGAGGGTTGTGAACAGGCTGGATCGATGGGCTGAGGCCAACTGTATGAGGTTCAGCAAGGCTTACGTGCTGGGTCCTGCACTTGGGTCACAACAACCCCCTGCAGCGCTACAGACTTGGGGAAGAGTGGCTGGAAAGCTGCCTAGCAGAGAGGGACCTGGGGGTGTTGATCAACAGCCGGCTGAACATGAGCCAGCAGTGTGCCCAGGTGGCCAAGAAGGCCAACGGCATCCTGGCCTGTATCAGCAATAGTGTGGCCAGCAGGATTAGGGAAGTGATTGTGCCCCTGTACTCGGCACTGGTGAGGCCGCACCTTGAATCCTGTGTTCAGTTTTGGGCCCCTCACCACAAGAAAGGACACTGAGGTACTAAAGAGTCTGGAGCACAAGTCTTACAAGGAGCGGCTGAGGGAACTGGGGTTGTTTAGTCTGGAGAAAAGGAAGCTGAGGGATGACGTTATGACTCTCTACAGCTTCCTGAAAGGAGGTTGTAGTGAGGTGGGTGTCAGTCTCTTCTCCCAAATAACAAGTGATAGGACAAGAGGAAATGGCCTCAAGTTTTGCCAGGGGAGGTTTAGATTGGATATTGGGAAAAATTTCTTCATTAAAAGGGTTGTCAAGCAGTGCAACAGGCTGCCCAGGGGAGTGATTGAGTCACCATCCCTGGAGGTACTTAAAAAACGTGTAGATGTGGTGCTTGGGGACACATTTTAGTGGTGGACTTGGCAGTATTAGGTTAATGGTTGGACTCAATGATCTTCAAGGTTTTTTCCAGCCTAACTATGACACACTGTGTTCGTTGCAGTGCCCGGCGCCCCCGGTGCCCCTGCCAGCAGCCCGCCGTGCACCGTCAACATCCCCATCGCCC